AACCCAGGCCGCCAGCATCAGAGCGCGCGCACTTAACCGCTAAGCCACAGAGCCGGCCCTCCACTGTACTAGTCTTAAAGTGACTAAATCGTGGTCTACATTTTCCAAAACTGTGGTCTATATTCATTGAACCAGGGCAAATCACAACTCTGATTTTTAGGAATTCCAGGACAGGACCTGTGTGGCACTCACAGGGCCCAGGCATGGCCTGAGGGTGGCAACAAGGCCATATGTGTTCTCAGACACATGGCCCTCTCTTCACAGTTCCAGGGACACTTCCGTGGCACTGTGGGCTAAACAGATTAGACCTTGTTTACAGTTTGGATACCAAGGCAGAGATTAAGGCTCTCTCACAGGCCCTGCTCTTAATTAGAATTCAGTGTATTGTGACTACTCTTTTTACAGCATTATTTTAAGCCATATAATGTCGTCTTCTTATAATGGTCTTAGATAAAATGAAAGTATTATGATAAAGACAAAGGCTTGCTTCGTGGGCTTTCTCCTGGGACCAGAGGACAATATCCAGGCAGGCAGCCTCCTGGTGTCACTGGGAAAGGACAGCAGATGAGCTACCATGGAGCCTCCAGAGGTGGCATTTACCTCAGAGAACCTGCCATGGTCTGGTTCTCAGCTCTGAGTCTCCTGAACTTGGTTTTGTGAGCATCCCAGGTAAGACATGGCCTTTGCAAGCAAATTCATTTGAACCACGCTACCAAGAACTGATCTAAAACCAGAATCCATGCAGTGATTTGTTTATCAAACTTGTATTGACACTGGGCCTGAGCCAGGCCATGTTCTTGGCTCAGCATCTAATGAACAAAACAGGCTTGGTCTCGGCTCTTACGGACCTTACAGTCCAGTGGGAGAAACACATGAAGAGGCCATTCCAACCCAGTGAGATGAGTGTTGTGGTTATGGGAGCAACTAGGAGAGGCCCAACCCTGGAGGAAAAGACATATTTAACATGATGGTGGGGAAGGAAAGAGCCAGTAAAGGAAGACTACCATAGGAAAGGGAGGGCATGACCACTGGAGAAAGGTCTCAAGGGAACAGAACTAAACTTGCACCAGAACACATAGAGGAGGGTGACCATGGGCAAGAACAGGGAAGGAGAAAGGAAGGATGACCAAGGACACATACAATTATAGGGTAAATGAGGGGCAGTTCTTGCCTGTACAATCTACTTAGGGGGCAAGGGGTTAGGAGGGAGGTTGACTGCTGAGAGTGAGGGGGAGGCTCTGATTTGACAAAGATTACAATAAGCACCATAGGAGAGTGAGGGGCATATCTGAATGAGGAAGTATTCTGGCCCCAGCATGCAAGGCTGGGTGCTCTCTCACAGCACCCACATCCTGCGTGAGGGCATAGACAGGTCAAGTAGACAGACACATCAGGGTTGAGCTTTCAGCAGCCTGACACCACTGAATTAACAGTGATCTGGATGAGGAGGGGAGTGAAGAGCAGAGGGAGAGGACACACAGAGAAAGAGCTTGTTCCCAGGTTCCCCATCTCAGTGACAGTCATCACCAAATATCCACCACTGGAGTCAGAATCCGGAGCATCATTCTCAATTCCCCCTCAACCTCAATCTGTCATCGAGATACACTGAGTCCACAGCCTATCCATCTCTTTGGTTCATCCACTTCTTCCCTGGTCCCTCTGCTCAGCTCCCCCCAGAATTCTGTCCATGATTATAGGACAGATCTTTGCATCAGAGTTGTTTTAGTGCTAGGGAAAAGCTCAAATGGCTTCTAGGACCAGACCACAAATGGGTGAAGCTGCCAGGGACTGTGGCACATTGCAAAGCCCTTTTCCATTTACCAAGGAAGGAGAGCACAGCCACGAGGACATGTGGGCCTGGTATTTTGCTAGATCTTTATATATTTTTAAGAATAACCTAAAAGGGTTTTATAGAGAAATTTCCTGATTTTTAAACGCAAGCAAACTATTCAAATTTAAAATAAAATCATTGTTAGAGTGTTTAGTGAAGTGTACTGACATCTGCAACGTACTTTGAAATGCACCAAAAGATGCATTGGTGGGTGGGTGGAGGGATGGATAGATATGTAACGAAGCAAATAGCAAAAATGTTCATTGTAGCAGCTAGGTGATGTGTATATGGATGTGCACTGCACAACTCTTTCAACTTTTCTGTACACTTGAAAAGTTTCATAATAAAATATGGGGGGAAATTCTTTTAATTGAAAAAGAAGTGTGAGCCCATGAGCCACTGCTTTGTGACTTTTGTTACAAGTTGTAACCGACTTTATGAAAGTGGGGTGGGGTAAATGAGTTAATAATATAAAGGGCATAGAACAGTCTGTAGAATACTTAATAAACATTAGATATTATCACTTGGAACGAAGGAAATGGACACAGAATGGAGGAGCTGGGCGCCTAACTGAATTTCATTGAGGGCTTTTGGTGGATTTTCATTACAGTGTAGAGTGGAGGGACCAGGGTAAACGCTGTTGCTCTGTGAGCTTAATGCCTGTAATTCCCATCTCTGCACGTCACGTTCCTCATTTTTTTTTTTTTGTGAGGAAGATCAGCCCTGAGCTAACATCCATGCTAATCCTCCTTTTTTTTTTCTTTTTTTTTGCTCAGGAAGACCAGCTCTGAGCTAACATCTATTGCCAATCCTCCTCCTTTTTTCCCCAAAGCCCCAGTAGATAGTTGTATGTTACAGTTGCACATCCTTCTAGTTGCTGTATGTGGGACACGGCCTCAGCATGTCCGGAGAAACTGTGTCGGTGGGCGCCCAGGGTTCCCAACCCAGGCCGCCAGTAGCAGAGCGCTGCCACTTAACCGCTAAGCCACCAGGCCGGCCCTCTTGCTCTTTTTTAAACCAATGAGAATTGGACTCTAAGCTCCCCTGCAGTTCTGAAGTTCTCACGATCTGCTCCCTTTCCTGTTTCTGCCTACAGGTGTCTCCATCACTTTTCTTCTTCCTTTAATCCTAAGGTAAAAACTACATTTCCCATGAGGGCTCACAGGCGTCGACGTCGCGCAGTTCTTTGTCGTAGCTCCGCGCCCTTTATACCCACTTCCGCCCGAGAGCCACTTCCTTTTCTTTCGGCGGCGCGCGGCGGCAAGATGGCGGTCCAGATTTCCAAGAAGAGGAAGGTGAGACGCTGGGGCCCGGGTCCGTGGGATTGCGGCCTCGCGCAGTTCAGAGGCTTCTCGAGGTGCCGCCGCAAGACCCGCAGCTCCGTGCCCGGCCGTGGGAAGCGGCTTGGGCCGTGTGGCGTCCCCGGGGGCCGCGGATGGTGGTGGATTGAGTGCGGGGCCTGAGCCGGGCGAGCGCAGTGTGGCGGGGAAGGGAAAGACAGATTTCCGCCGGTTCCGGGCGGAGAGCAGACATAAGCACCCGGCGCCGCTCCTGCTCCGGAGAAGGGGCTTGTGAGCATTTACTGGTCAACAAATAGAATTGGTAAAGGCGTTGTATTTGAGGGCACCGTTGTTTTGGGGAGGGAGGTAGCCGTGTACGTATTCTTGCCTTCTTACTAGTCGTGTCTGAGTGCGGCCGTCTAGCCCCAAAGACCGCAGTTGGAGAGGCTACCGACAGTTTCTTACTCCATCCGGGGTCCAAGGAAAAGGCGTGGGCGAGTGGAGGGAGGGGACCTGGTACGAACACTTTCTCAAGTTTAACTTTTCGCCTTTCCATGGGAGAGAAACGTGTAAAGTCCATTTGCTTTAGAAACAGGCAGTTTGCCATTTCGTGTGTACATACATCGATGTTAAGATGAAATCCACACGCTTTTGTGAGTTGGGATTTGCCAGCTCTGTAAGACACAGGTACCTTAAGGGAGGCGAGACAACGTGGCTGGGGTTCTTCTGATGGTCCAAGTTGTGTCCACAAGGGAGACTGCTTAACTTCAGTTACTGTCTGTCCTTTTCGCTAGTTTCAAGCGGAGTGTTCCTGCTGTGTGGAATGAATGAGTTGTAAATGTGCTTTTTCGGAGTAGTTTTCTGTGTAGCGTGTTTGCATATAAATGAGTCTTGAAAACCCTTCAATGAAGAGAAGATGACGAGTCTGACTGAAAGTGTCATCTTTGTCCTGGTGGCTCCTACTCCGTGCTGCGTTCTGTGGCACAGTGTTAAGGGTCCTGGGTCAGAGTAACTTCTGAGAGATGACATAGAGGCATTTGTCTGAGAAGGGTTGCATTCCTGTTGGAAGGAGGGTAATAGAATTGATGATGGATGATTTGTTGGAGGTGCTGAATTTTGATGAAATTGGCTGAAAGTCTAGGCAGGAGAAAGTGAGCCTGCACTCATGTCGTAATTTTGAATTTTGCTTTTTGGTTAGTTTGTCGCTGATGGCATCTTCAAAGCTGAACTGAACGAGTTTCTCACTCGGGAGCTGGCTGAAGATGGCTACTCTGGAGTTGAGGTCCGAGTGACACCAACCAGGACAGAAATCATCATCTTGGCCACCAGGTAAAAACTTGTTTTCCTGGCTATCACCTATAATTGTTGTATCTACTAAGATGGTTTATTCTGTAAACCTAAGGGGACAGCCAGTGAATTTGGCCTTAGCAAATGTAATTTTTTTCAAACTGCATTTTTTATCCAACTCTAGTTCTTGTCATTCAAAATTTATACTTGTTTGTCAGTTGAATGAGACTTTACTACCAAATATATACAAGATTTAAAGGTATGTCTGGGGGCCGGCCCGGTGGTGCAAGCAGTTAAGTGCACGCGCTCTGCTGCAGTGGCCCGGGGTCCACCGGTTCAGACCCCGGGCGCGCAGTGATACACTGCTTGGCAAGCCATGCTGTGGCGGCATCCCATATAAAGTGGAGAAAGATGGGCACGGATGTTAGCCCCGGGCCAGTCTTCCTCAGCAAAAAAAAAAAAAAAGAGAGAGAGGAGTATTGGCAGATGTTAACACAGGGCTGATCTTCCTCACAAAAACAAAAAAAAAGTATGTCTGGAATTTTGTGAGAGCTATGAATTGTCCCTTTTTATTTTCTCCAGGACACAAAATGTTCTTGGTGAGAAGGGCCGGCGGATCCGGGAATTGACCGCTGTGGTTCAGAAGAGATTTGGCTTCCCTGAGGGCAGTGTAGAGGTGAGGGATCCTGGCTTGTGCCAGAGGTTACTGTGGACCTGGAAATGGCTCTTTAGGATGGTACTTCTAAAAACCCTTACCATCACCCTGAAGACTTTGTTTATTCATGATTAATGAGTATTACAAATGGATTGGTATTTTGTTGAAGTTCTCTTAATAAGCAGTGGGCTTAATTTTACAGGCCTGTTCTACTCATTTCTTGGTTAAGGGATTTTGCATTCAACTTGGGTATAGTAATGATATGTATAATGGATTGGCTGCCCCATCCGTCTTCTTGGTGTGGCCATAGGAAGAGGTAGGAGTGGAAGGGCAGTGAGGAGTGGTTCAGCCTCAGTCACAGTGTGTGCTAGGTGTGGATGCTAGAGGTGCTTTAGTACTTGAGGGATACTACAGTGATGTGTACAGTGGTGATGGTAACAGGTTTAAGGATGTGCCTTGTTTCCTTCTTAAAGCTTTATGCTGAAAAGGTGGCCACAAGAGGTCTCTGTGCCATTGCCCAGGCAGAGTCTCTGCGTTACAAACTCCTGGGAGGCCTTGCTGTGCGGAGGTAAGTGTCCTGAGACTTTTAATGGTTGTGCCCGTTTTTGTGGATCAGAATATGGTGTGTCTTACATCTTGCTAATTCAGCAAATGAACTCTTTGTACGTGGCAGGCTCTGCTAGTCTCTGAGGTTGGCAATCCATGTCCTTGCTGAACTGACAGTCTAGCAAGGAAGACGAGTGAAAAAACAAGTTTTTAAAGAGTGGTCAGTGCTGTAGTGGAGACCTGTTGTGGGTGCTTTGGGAGTAGAACCAAAATAGAGCTCTCTGGGTAGGGGAGGTTAGGCTTCCTCTTGGAGTCATTCAGATCCTCATGTTGACTCCTCTGGGGACTATAGAGAGATAAGACATAGTCCTGATGGGAGAGAGCTTAAAATCTAGTCACTTACCTCCGTAAGCTGTGTGTAGATAGTGAGTAGGATGGGCTGTAAAGGACGTGCGGTGGTTAGATTGGCCCTGGAGCTGTGCCTTCTGAAAAGATTTCAGCAGGCAGTTCTTGGTGCAGTTTGGCTATTTGTGAAGTAATTGGAATGCTTTGCCTGGGTGTTTGGAATTTAGTCAGTACTTAATGCAGAGCCCTGGGAGGTTTTTCAGCAGATTAAGGAAATGATAGCTGCGCTGTAGGCAGACTGACGTGGGGATGGGTGGTTGGCAAGGCTGTAGGCAAGGACGTGTGGAAAAGACTGCTCGCCTAGTTTGAATGCCAGCTACACAACTTTGAACAGTGGTTCTCAAAAGTTTGGTCCCTGGGCTAACATCACTGCCATCATCTGAGGACTTGTTAGAAATAAAAATTCTCAGTCTCCTCCCTAGACCCACTGAAACAGAGAGTGGGAGTGTAGCCCAGCACTCTGTCTAAACAGGCCCTCCAGGTGGGTTTTGTACACTGAGGTTTGACTTGAAAGTTCTGAGAGCTGAGCAACTTATTGAGCTTCTCTGACCCTTGGATCTCCTATCTCTGAATGGAGACATCATACCATCTCTTCTCTTCATGAGGGTTAAATGAGGTGATGTGAAAGGGCCTGGGGCATGGTGGTAGGTCTTACGCCTTTCCTTTCCCTGTTGAAAGTGGTGGCTAGCTTTCCAGTTAGTGTCTCGCAGAGTGTAAACTAATGAATGAGTTGGGGAGCATGATGTTTTAAGGCTTGCTGTCAATTTTATAGACCTAGAAATGTTTTTCTCCACCACTCTAGTCGAGGCAGCTAGGAGCCTAAATTGGTAGTTAGGGTTCCTAATGAACATGAGTGCTGGAGGTTGAAGAATATTTCAGTAATCTATGAAGGGGTCACTCAGCAACTGGAATGTTTCTAGGTTCTTACTGATTGCTTGCCTAATTCAGAAATCCTGAGTTTGCAAAGATGTACTGGACTGGAAGGGCCTGCTCCAGAATGGGGGAGAGGTCGTCACCTTGATAATCGTGAGTTCAGGAGCAGCATAGTTGTCAACTTTAGTTGCACATTAGAATTGCCTGGGCAGTATTTTTTAAATACCTTTGGCTGAACTTTACCATCTCCACCATTTAATTGGCCTGGCCTAGGGCCTAGGCTTCAGGGGGTTTTAATTTTAACTTTTTTTTTGTAATTTTATTTTTTTATTTTATTCATTTTTATAATTTTAACTTTCTTGATGTGATTCTGATGTGCAGCCAAGGTTGGAAAACACTTGGTTAGAAGGAACTCGTCATGCATTCCCTAAGGAATTAGCCTAAGGTTAGGTGTGATGGGAGGAAGAGAAAGGAACATTGAAGACAATCAGGGCAGATTAATAAGTCTTACTGTTTTGTTTTTTACCGTCGTGGGGGTGGGGTGGGGTTGAGCAGTCCTGTTGTTGATGATAACACAAGCGGATGTCTGTCTCTTGCTCTCCCAAAGGGCCTGCTATGGTGTGCTGCGGTTCATCATGGAGAGTGGAGCCAAAGGCTGCGAGGTCGTGGTGTCTGGGAAACTCCGAGGACAGAGGGCTAAATCCATGAAGTTTGTGGATGGCCTGATGATCCACAGTGGGGACCCTGTTAACTACTACGTTGACACCGCCGTGCGTCATGTGCTGCTCAGACAGGGTGAGCAGCCGGGAGTGCTTGGGGCAAAGGTCCTTAGCGGGTAGATGTGATTTCCATGCACGCCTCAGTGTTTGGGGAATTCACCCTGGGAGTAGTGGAGCATGTTTGTACTCCTTGGGTTGTTGATTAGCTGCATTGAACTGTAAGAAGTGAATTGGCTGAGATCAGTCAGATCTGAGAGTTGGTTTGTCCTTGTCTCAGCCACCGGTGTACCCTTCAGTGATGATACGATGACGAGTCAGAAAGGTCACGTCCTGCTCTTGGTCCTTGTCAGTGCCACGTTCTGTGGTGCTGTGCATGGGTTCCTTTTGCAAAAGTGTCCTGGTCATTGATTGATTAGAGGCATTTGTCTGAGAAGGGACCAGAGCCAGAGGTGCCTGAGTAGCTTACTGTTCTCTCCCCTGTGCTGTATTCTGTTGTGTAGTGGGAGCTGGTGAAACCACAGTTAGATCCTAACTATGGCATCCTCTAGGTGTGCTGGGCATCAAAGTGAAGATCATGCTGCCTTGGGACCCAAGTGGTAAGATTGGCCCTAAGAAGCCCCTGCCTGACCATGTGAGCATTGTGGAACCCAAAGATGAGATACTGCCCACCACCCCCATCTCAGAACAGAAAGGTGGGAAGCCAGAGCCGCCTGCCATGCCCCAGCCGGTACCCACAGCGTAACAGGTATGTCCATGGGGGCCTCTTGGGGCAGGATAGAACCCTATTCCTTTGTCTCCCTGTTAATACTTGTATCCTGTGCTGTGCTACGCACTTGGTGAATAAAAATTGGGTTACACTTGCTTCTCATGGGAAAACACAGGTTGGAGCCAGGGGCCCATTTAACCTGGGGTTCTGTTGGGAAAGGTGTTTGCCTTTGGTCTCTTGAAGAAGTTCCTACATTTACCACTATTTGAAATAGGAGTTTTCCTTTATTGTCCTCCTTTACTTGCTCAAAGATTTCAAGGCCCTCTTGCTAGTAGTTAGCTATCTCTTTCAGCAGCCCCCATAAAACAGTAACATGAAGCCTCTCCTATGCCCAGCAGCTGTTTTTCTGTTTCTAGGTGTTCTGTGTGCGTTTATTAATCTTCATGCAAACCCTGAGTGGGAGTGTTTCCCCATTTGGTAAATGAAAGAACCTGGTACTCAGATGAAATTTCTTTTCTTACTGTTGTGCTTTATTTGGTTTCAGGGTCTCCTTGGCAGCTGAATCTGGAGTCTGGATGTTGCTCTATAAAGACCTTTAATAAAATCTTTTTAAAAGATATGTGGCCTGACCAGACTCTATGTCCAGTATTCAGATTGAGGGTCATGTCGCCCCATGGGAGCGTTACTTGATTATCTTAGGGCTACCTGGCCCACGATGTTGCTGTGCTTTCCCTGGAATCCTCTCGGTTTCTTTTTTTTTTTTTTTTTTTTAATTTTATTTATTTATTTATTTTTCCCCCCAAAGCCCCAGTAGATAGTTGTATGTCATAGCTGCACATCCTTCTAGTTGCTGTATTTGGGACGCGGCCTCAGCATGGCCGGAGAAGCAGTGCGTCGGTGCGTGCCCGGGATCCGAACCCAGGCTGCCAGCAGCGGAGTGCGTGCACTTAACCGCTAAGCCACGGGGCCGGCCCCTCTTGGTTTCGACTGAACTTGTCAGGCAAGGGCCAGAACAGAAAGACCCAAGGAGAGCTAAGCAGGAAAATGTCCTGTGGGGGAGTAAATCTGGTGACCGTGAAGGCTGATTGCTAACAGGACCAGCACCTTGATTGACTCACCTGTGGTTCAGGGTTACAGGTTTAGAAGAGGTATATATCTAATGATTTCCTGTATTGCACACAGAATAACAATGGCTGTCATGTCTTGGGTCATACTGTGCTCTAGGTGTTGTGCTTTACATACATTCTCATTTAATCCTCAGCATCTATAACATATAAAGGGTATTTGTGCCATTGATGAGTCTGAGGCTCAGAAGTAAATTGGCCTAAGCATTGTAGAGCTGTGATTAGAATTCACATTTCTCTGTCCTGTTCTCAGCCATTATGCTCTAGAAAAGTATAAAGAATGTTTGTTTACAGTTTAATCTGTCATTTTGAAGTGTTTTCCAGTGATGTCTTTTTATAAGAAATTGGGTGCTCTTAGGTGAAACTAGTGAGGGACAGGCTGGCATGAAAATCCTACAAGACTAATTAGAGTGAATTAATGAATTATGTTGGGAGCACACTGACAAATGTATCTCATGTGTCCCTCCTCCCTTTTTAATAGAGCCTTTGATGATGTCTGTACAGTCATGCACCACATAACATTTCAGTCAGCGCCATACTGCGTATATGATGGTCCCAGAAGATTTGTACCATGTAGCCTAGGTGTGTAGTAGGCTTTACCATCTAGGTTTGTGTTAGTACGCTCTGTGATGATCACACTGACGAAATCACCCAGCATTTCTCAGAATGTATCCCTGTCATTAAGTGACATATGGCTGTACTGACTTTGTCTAGACGGTAACGTCTCACTGTTTTTGTCAGTGTTAATTTAACTGAGACCATGTCTTAGAGACAGTCTCTAGATTCTTCTCTAACCACTGGCATAGCTAATGTGTTATCCATGTAATGTGTTCCAGAGAGTGGATTTGTATATATTGTGGCTAAGAACTGGAGCCTGAATACAAAAATGGTTTTCGCTTCCCCTCACTCTGGGGTGACACATTTCCAGGAATGAGCCCTTTCTCAAGCTAATGAAAGTTTCCTGGGAAGGGCTAATAGGTAGGTGGTTTTGAGCAGACTGGCTAGTGTTGGGTCACCTCATAACTGCACATGGGTAAAGTGAGATTTAAATGCCTTTGAATAAATGATTGTGTGCCTACCCTCCATATCTAATACAATATAGGCAGCTATTGTGCTGTTGGCTACCCTGGGAGCTGGGTGCATTTATAAGGTTTTATTTATCCCTTGTGGGTAAAACTATTGGCATTTTGCAGTTTACTGAAAATGTTAGTGTTGGAACTGAGCTCAACTCCTTTATTCCTGGACTTGTGATGCAGTTAGTTGTGAGATTTGTAGTGAAACTAGTTCTAATTTGAGCATCCAGAGTACTGGGTGCTGGAAACAGGTTAAGACAGTCCTGGTCATCTCGAATCTTAGCATCTAGTACTGGCACAGCCAGTAACAGGTATTTGTATATTTGATTAAGTGATCTTTTAAATTTTCCTCATGAGTTTTCTACAAACCTCAATCCACTTAAGAACTGGAAGTCAAGTCTGTGGGATTCCGTAGTGCTGTTAACTTCCCACCAGGAGGTGCTGTAACAGGAATGTCCACCAAAGCAGCAGCTTGGGAAGGAAAAAGTAACTCATGGAAGTAGGACACAGAAAGGTGCAAATTATTAGTGTACCAGTCTACAGCTTGAATTACAAGCACGAACACCCCTGTATAGCCACCATTCAGATCAAGAAAGGAAGAGAGTTTAGGATTTTTTTAAAATCTTTATTTCAGAAAACCACACAAGATAAATGTAGAGCTTAGGTGAGCACTCCCTAACCACAGCCCATTGAGAAATGCAAGCTACCCTAGAGGATGTCATCACCACCACCCGCAGACTCTCCCAGTGAATGAGTTTTCAGCTGTCCTTTGTGTCACTCCCTTCAAGTTTGAAGATTCCAGGTGTGAGCATCTGACTGGTCAAGCCTGGTGTCTGGGGGGTAGGGAGAAAGAGCTGGCCCCTTTGCCTTGCACAGTGCCCCCTGTCCCTTCAATAGGTAGGGTGTTGATGCTGGACAGCTAAAACTATGGTGAAATAGCCCTTGGAACCCTGGAAGTGTGGCTGTTGGCAACATGGAAGCAAGTGCCATAGCCTTTCATTGACTTTTCACCAAAAGGCTACTGTCAGGCTCTGAAGTTAGATTCTGATCATTAGGATTCCTGGCAGCTGGTGACGGGGCTCAAACAGGAGCTGGGAGCTGATTGGCCAGCTTGCCCATCAGGCAAGGAAAAGAGCAGCAGCTGCAATGTGAGAACTTGGGAACAGGCCCAGAGGGCAGCAAGGGTCAGGGACAAGGGGATAGCACTGTCAGTGTGGAGACCCAGGAAAAACAAACGGGGGGGTCAGAGGACAATGGGTAAAGGTTTTTGAGGGGTTTCTGCCCCCAGACAAAATCTGGGCTTGCAGACCTTCTCCTGGAGCCCACAGCAGATGGTGGTCATCTGTGGGGCCTGCTCCTCTCCTCCAGTCAGACAATCCTCCCCACTCCTACCTGGGAAATGAGGCAAAGGCTATGCGGAGGTCAGCCCTGTGGGGGTGGAGGACACCTTTCTCTGCAGAGCACTTGACAAAGGAGAGCTTGTGCTGGAAAAGCTGGGCTTTGCAATTAGAGACCTGGGTTCAAATCCTGACACAAGCACTGATGCACTGAGGGTGATTTTGGACCTTTCTGATTCTCACTTATCTCACAGGGCGAGTTGTGGGAGTTAAAGGAAATCTAAATGCATTTCTCTAGTTTTTATAATTTAGTATTATTTGTTTGGAGACATAAAAGAGCCCAGGCCTTCAAGCCAGACTGGATTTAAAACCAGGTCCACAATTTAGCAGTATGAGCATGGGCACATCAGGTACATCTCTCTGCCTCTGTTTGCTCATCTGCATATGGAGTTCTTCACACAGTGCCTGACCCTTAGTAAGGGCTCAGAAAATGCTAGCTGTTGTTACTACCTTAAGCATGTCCTCTTGGAAATGACTGATAGCTAACTTCATGGTAATGGATTCTCCCATCCTAACTGAGGGGGCCGTGCTTTCTGCTTCTACTGGGAAGTGGGCATAGCTGGACAGGTGTCATTAGCCCCATTTTACAGGGGGCGAAGTTGGCCTTTTTCTGTGCCGTGATCCATCCAAGTGATTGTTTCTGAGCTCTGATGTTGCTGTGTATAAATGCAGCTGTTCTGGGCTGGCCCCGTGGCTTAGTGGTTAAGTGCGTGCACTCCACTACTGACGGCCCGGGTTCAGATCCCGGGCGCGCACCGACGCACCGCTTCTCCGGCCATGCTGAGGCCGCATCCCACATACAGCAACTAGACGGATATGCAACTATGACATACAACTATCTACTGGGGCTTTGGGGGAAAAAAAGAGGAGGATTGGCAATAGATGTTAGCTCAGAGCCGGTCTTCCTCAGCAAAAAGAAGAGGATTAGCATGGATGTTAGCAGGGCTGATCTTCCTCAGAAAAAATAAATAAATAAATAAATAAATGCAGCTGTTCTATGTCAGGGCTGTCAACATCAGAGCAGGAAAACATTTAGGTATCCTTGAGAGTCAACATTTTCAACCTCAAAAGATAGTTTTCTTCCTCAGGGATGTGAGATTTTGATATTTTATCTACGAAACAAACCATTTCCCTATTTGTTATTAATCAAAGCTGTATTTATAATTTGGTAAGCAGCATGAGCATGGTGAGAAGATAATTGTTAACATTCCCTGAGCCTGCTGTGAACATCTCATTTAGTCTTCCACATCTCTGTAATGGGCAGATTCCACTGCAGTACTAACCTCATTTCAGAGCAATTTTAACTGTGCAGTACATCCCTGTGTGATTTCTCTCAGGCTTTGGACAGTATTTAGAATATCTCAAGATCCCCATTTCTGATTTGAAAACAAATAACATGAGACTCTAGGTTGGGAACAACTTGTCTGATCCCAAACCCTCAATTTAAAAAACAAGATGGAGCCCCAGTAGCTCTGAAATTCAAATAAAACCACGCCTCTGCTGCTCAGTCCTGTATTGTACTAACAGCTCCGCTAACCAGGTGCAGCTGGGCCTTTGTCCACCAAGTGGGAGTACTGCTGTGATGGATTCATCTCTCCCCCACTGCTGGGCCATCGACTGCCCCCATGACCAGCCTGCACCAGGCACCCTTTGTGCAGTGAGCCAGCAGAGCTGGACTCTGAATCCTAAATTGCATAGAGAGGGTAGGGCTCCCCTGGCCTTTAATTAAGAACATTTATGCTTTTTAGAGGGCGCGGAAGGGAGACCATAAGCACAGCAAGAGGGCTGCTTTCCTACCTGTCAGAGAAAAGGATCTTGCCCACTGGTTTTACCCTCAATATATCAGGAAAAAGAGTCATCTTTTTCCTGTTTGGGTCCAAGAGGTATCCCACCTTTATATTTTAAGTCATATTACAGATACTTCACAGAAGTAAGAATAAAGGGATAGTGGAAAACAGTTTTATTATAAATTTTAACAAGTATTAACAGCACAAGTCTATACTAAAAACCAGAGTTGTACCCTTCAAATGGGTGGATTTTATGCTATGTGAATTATATCTCAGTAAAGTTGCCATTCATAGATATATGAAAATATGTAATATATGTGTATATACACACACACATATATATATGAATTAAAACATAGCAATTTCATATTTTCCTTGTCTCGAAGGTATATGTAGCCAAAATGAGCAACATCCTTTGAATGCAATGAAATGCTCCTTAACTGCTGTGTGTGAAGCTGGAACATACTCATCTTGTAACTACTGATTTCAGATTTCTAATGGTCTCTAGCTTATCATTGCCTCTGGGATTTTTGTTTGTTTTCTTTTGCACTTGTCAACACACAATATTTTTAAAATTTTTAATGGCTCATAATTTTGTTGAAGACAGGACAGGCACTTTCTTTGCTTCATAATTTTAAAACATTTTCTTTTTTAGATTTATAAAGATCAATTCAAATGACCAAATCAATGAATTTTTAAAAATTTCTACAGCATCTATTTCCCTCTAATCGCCTTTGTACACAACTGCCTTCAGCATTTCTCCACTTATGAACTGTAACAAACTGTATCAAGTAAATTTTAGGGCATAGGCATCATAAAAGATGAATATTGTCACCTGACCTTTTAGCAAAACAGGATGGTCCAGGTTTTTGTCTTAAAATATTGTGTGATGAAATCCTTCCTGTTGAATGACTTAACTAAATAATGACTTAACTTAAAATACCATATTTCCTTTCTGTCTTTAGAAATATATTGTTCACTCACCAATTCTTGAGTTTGAGAAAATTCACCTAGGAATGAGTTGGCTTATGTGACCAATTTCCCCATCATCTTTAGAGACTAGAACATTCATTTTCTGATTTGTCTAATAAGTGTGAAATGTTCTCTCTCAAGTTTCTTTTCTTATTGTTATGAGTAGAAAATGAAAAATCCCTTAATTCTCAACCAATGTCTCTGGATTTCTTTTGTACCTTCTTGAAAGATGATATATATATACAATACTTTGGGAAATGCAATATGGAAACTGAAGGATCATATAATAGTGATGGTTTATTTCATTATTGCATCTTCTAGGCAATACCATCATTCTTACATTTTCTCATCATCTTGTTTGGCATAGTTGGGAATAATTGATGAATAAGATGAAATAATTTTTAGGATAATGAAACAGCAAAGTTTTTCAATATATAGGAAAAATAAGTTCATCAAGATCTCATAATGTATTTTAGATTTATAAATGAGACCATATGGTGATTATAAAATAGAATAAGTTTTATTCTATTTTTTAAAAAAATAAGTTAATTTTCTCATCGTTCTTGAAGCCCATTAGAAAGAATAACAGTTTAGTCCTTACAAATAGTTAGAGCTGCTCAAAGAAACTTAAAAACTAAATTTGGGTCCAGTGGTTTCTGAAGGCATACCAAGACTTAAGTCTCTGTTCTCAGCTGGGGAGAGGATGGCAATCCTGTGTGGCTAAGGGGTCAGTGCTCAGGACTTGGGGTCTGGGCTCCCGCTGAATGGTAACAGTCCCTCCCATTCAGCAGGCAGCTTGGGGGAGAGGCCAAAGAGCAGAGGACTAGGAGCCAGGGAGACCCTCCATATATGGTCTCTCAATCTAACCAGTAGTCCTAGGAAATTAGGACACATGGGGTGCCACTTGCTTGTGTTCCTGTGAGCCTCACACACCAGGGGCATGAACCATGTCTCCACTTATCCACTTGGAGGCCCACAAAGGCAGGGACAATATCCCATTGGTCTGGATTTCCCATGGTGGAAATGATACATCTCCTACCTTTAAACAACTCCTGGGCTGCCCTCAACACTGTTTTCTTAGGTTAGCAGAGCCTAGGTGAGGCCACATGGAAAGAGCAGGCTTTGGAGATAGCTGGACGCAGGTTGGAATCCTGGCTCTGCCACCACTCACCCACCAGCCCAGTGACCTTAGTAAGCAAGTCACTTCACAACTCTGAGTCTCTGTTTGCCCATTTGTAAAGGGGAGGGGGGCAATTGTACCTACCTCACAGGTATTATGAGATAGAAATCCAGGAAACTTTGATTTAGTGTATTCGGGGGGTGGGGAGGGGAGGCGCAGGTTTGTTCCAGGCACTGGGGGACACAAGAGATGAAGCTGACACCTTTCCTGCCTCAGAGGGCATCCTATGGGTGTGTCAGGGGAGACTAAAGACATCACACATAAAGGCCTGGCCATATGTCAGGTGATGGAAGAGGGGCAGATAAGGAAGGGGCACAAGGGGAGAGGTCAGCTCCAGGGTGGAGATGTCGAGTTGGCCCAGGCAGACTGCAGGAAAGGGCATCGGCACTTGCACGAAAAAGCGTTGAGGGCACGAATGGTCATCGTAGGCGAAATGGAGCAGTCTGCCTGGCACACAGGAAGTACTCAGCCCAGGTGAGGCCACCATGTCCTTGGAGAGAGCTTGCTCTAGATTTGCCCCTACTTTTCCACTTGGGCTCTTGCAGGGGTAGGCAAGCAATATGGCACCTTCTAAGCTTTGTCCTGGGTGTTATCTGTGGGGTGGGGGCAGAGAGGCTCTGAGGGGCTGGGCCTCTACCCCAAACCCCTCCCCCTTCTGCCATTATCAGTTGTGTCCAGATGGTGACAGGCTCCCTAATCTGGGATAATCGGAGGGTAGGAGCTCAGCTGGGACCTGGACCTTTGTGCTGGGCTATGACGGGCCAGCCCCAGCTGGAGAGACTCTGCACACAGGGCCCTGGGGCTTTGGAAGATGGGAGGGGTGTGGGGCTGGCCCGGTGCCGGAGGGGATGACAGGTGCAGAGGACAGCTCTTAAAAAGGCAATCTGAGTGCAAATGAAGAGGAGCCCCAGCTGGGGTCTGGCCAGCCCCTTAGGCCTCAGAAACAGAGGCACAGAACCTGAACTGCTGGGCCTCTGCCTCGCAGAATCTGTCTTGGTGTCTTTTGTTCCCTCTCTCCCCTCTGAGCTCACCCCTCCTTACCCAGCAGTTTTATGTTCTGTCCCTAGAGCCCGAGGCCAACCTGGGTACTTATAATGGCATCAGGGTTTGTGCCCCCTGTTGACGTAGGGGATCCAGGTGCAGAGCCTGGCTGGCTGGGTTCTCAGGCTTGTGGCTCTGGCACCTGCCACCCTGGGCCCGCAGTTTGCTGCGAGCCTCCACCCCAAGGCTACCTAGGTTTGTTGTATTTTGTTTCAGCTTCTTTCTTGTGTGGAGGAGTCCTACCTGGGCCCTGGCTTCCAGCAGTGAGCCGGTTTGGATCCTGTTTCTAAGGCCTTCCTCCCAGAGTCTAAACCCCAGAGCTCAAGCTTCTGTCTTCCTCACAGGAATTTTCCTCATAGAATTTTGTAATTCTCTCGTTTCTGCTCCTCGATATGTTTGGTTTCTTATAAGCTATGCCTCTGTCGTTTCAGTTGTCTGGCTTTTCATTTTCTCTGTCCTTGCTAGGTGTTTGAATTGGAGAGGGTGGTTTAGAAAGAACCATCCTGACCAGGAGTGCCTCATAGATTCTGAATCTTCATGAAATCTTAAGAGTCACAGACTCTGCCACATGCTAAGTACGCGGCCTTCGGCGAATTCTCATCTTTTTAAGGCAGTTCCTTCTCTGTAAGATACTGATATTAATAACTAGCTAACTAAAAAAAATAAAAATAAAAAAGTGCTGATAATCTGAAATTGAAGGATCATTATTACCTATGGGAGGAGTGTGGGAAGGGGTGGGTTTGGGAATAGACAGGGTCCTACAAAGGCATTTGTAACCACCTATTTCTTAAGCTAGGTAGTGGGAACACAGATATTTTATTATTCTTAACTGTACAAAAATATATACTTTTTTGTTTTAATGTTGTATTCTGTATCTTTATTAGCTTCAGAAAGTTTGAGGAATTTTGCTTTTTGTTTTGTTTTGTGAGGAAGATTAGCCCTGAGCTAACCTCTGTTGCCAATCCTCCTTTTTTTGCTGAGGAAGATTGTCCCTGGGCTAACATCCATGCCCATCTTCCTCTACTTTATATGGGATGCCACCACATCGTGGCTTGACAAGCGGTGCATTAGTCCGTGCCTAGGATCTGAACCCGCGAACCCCAGGCTGCTGAAGTGGAGCGCCCGAACTTAACCGCTACACCACCGGGCTGGCCCCAATGTATATTCTTTTAAGCATGAAATATTTCATAATTAAAAAAAAAAATGTCCATACTAGGGGCTGGCCTGGTGGCGCAAGTGGTTAAGTGCTCGCGCTCCACTGTGGTGGCCCGGGGTTTGTTGGGTCGGATCCCAGGAGTGCACCGATGCACTGCTTGTCCAGCCATGCTGTGGCAGTGTCCCATATAAAGTGGAGGAAGATGGGCATAGATGTTAGCCCAGGGCCAGTCTTCCTCAGCAGAAAGAGGAGGATTGGCAGATGTTAGCTCAGGGTCTTCCTCACAAAAAAAAAAAAAAAAAAATGTCCACACTGCTATTGTGAAAGTAAATGAGGAAACGTATGAAGGTGCTTTGTAAGGAGTCAAAGCAGGGAGAAGATACTGGGCATTACTTCTCCAGGCAAAGCAGGCTCGAGCCGGAACACAGACCCAACCTTTGAACGAGGTTTTATTTCTACAAGGAAAGGGGGCAATAAGTTAAGGGGCTATTTACATGGAGGCCAGGAGGGGAGCAGAGTGGTGAGCCCGGGTTCTCCCTTCTCTCTCTGCCCCCTGGCTCAGGCTGTCCAAGTTTAGTCACCTGCCCAGGCTCTGGACGATGGTGACACAGCCATGGGAGCTGGTGCAGCGCTGCAGGGACGGCTGGGCCTCCACCTGCCCACTGCTGGGGTCAAAGGTGAAGGTCCTGTCGGTGCTTTCCCCACGATCATCCCGCCCGCCAAGGATGTGGACCTTCCCGTCACACACAGTCACGCCACAGCTCTCCTGGGTGGACAGACAGAAAGACAGTCAGCTACTGGGTCCAGCCTGGGGCTCCCTCTGTCCCTAGCTGGCCAGGCCTGACAACAAAACCTTGACACACACAATATGAGCAGGCAGTCTGGATGGCAGAGAGGCAGAAAATTGGAGAACCTGAGTTCAAGCTCTGGCGTGACCCTTCCTAAACGATAGCCTTAGTCACTTAGCCTCTCTGGGCCTTAGTCTCCTTATCTGCAAAGTGAGAAGAACAGCAGTACCTTCCTCATAAGGTTCCCTTAACAGTTAATGGGGGTGAGCATATAAAGCATTTTACATAGTGCCTGGAATATAGTAAGCACCTCAGTAACGATAATAGTAATTCCCACCACCACCACCACCTTAGGATCTCAGTCTCAGAGAAGCCAGAAATCTCAGGCTCTTAGGATCACGGAAGGTCAGAACTGGCAGGGACCACCAGTCCAACCACACCCCTTTTATAGCCTCTCTGGAGTTTCAGGGGAGGGAGATCGAAGGTGGGGGAGGCAAGGAATGCAGGGGCCAGACCATCCCGGGCCAGGCCTCCCTTCTCTGACATCACTGGAACAGGGGAACTTCACAGTCCCTTCTCCACCCCCAACCCCTCAACAATTGGCTACCAGCTGGGGGCCTTCAGGGCAGGAGAGACTGCAGGATCATTTAGACCAAGCTCTACACTCAAGGCTACAGCACTGCGAACTGGGATTCCAGGCTCTGCCTTAACGTGGCCTAACTGGTGGCCTTGGGCTGGGGCCTCGACCTCTCTAAGGCCAGTGTCCTCATATGTGAAAAGCAAGGCTGATTATCATTGTGAGAACAAAGCTAGAAAACTGTAAAACGGCCTAGCAGGGAGTCAGACCAAGACGCTCCCTCTGAGATCCAGATCCTTTGAAGTGGATCTCCACTCTCCTGAATGGAACCAGTGCCAGGGCCCATGCCCAGGAGCGTCCACTTACCACACGGCTGGGGAGGACAGCTGCCTCCCCCCAGACATCTGTGCCAGGGTCGTAGGTGAAGATTCTGCTCATGAGGCCCCCCACCACATATATGGTGTCCTCGAGGGACACAGCCTCGAGACACCGCTGCGAGAAGGGCGCTGGGGACCGCAGGCTCCACCTGTCCTCCTTGGGGTCAAAGCACTGCACCTGAGGGGTGGGAGGAGCAGCAGTGGTGAAGCTGCATCCCCAACTGCCCTGCTGCCCATGCCCTCCCACCTCTGTGAGGGGGACTCAATCAACAAAACAATATTTGCCTGTGTCTGCCAGGCCTGAGCTAGCGAAGTCTGGGAGAGTAGGGGAGACTGATCGCCCCTGCCCTCAAGTGTACTCAGTCTGGTTCTGCATTCTAGCCCCTATCCCTGGACTCCCTGTGTGGCAAGCCTCATCTTTCAAGATCCAGGGAGAAGTCTGCGTTAGTGCTATAGAGAGTCCTCAGAGCAGGTCCCCCATGGAGATGTATTCCTGGCTGCATGCATTGTCAACCCCCTTCTCTTTCCCTTGTGCTCTGAGGTCATGACCAGATTCCAGCTGGCGTGTCATCCAGCTCCCATTCCTACAGCTGTCCACAGGCCTTCCAGGCCCACGGGCGTTTATGATGCCTTTGACAGTTTCTGAGGGTTCACATCTGTACCTGCCTGCTCACCTTTACTCCCTGTTTCAGTTGTTTCCTTGGAGACCTGCAGAAGGGCCTATAACAAATCAGTGCTGCACGAGAGGCTACTAAATGGGCCAGTTCCCCTAGCCAGCTCCAGGAAGGTGTGCTGGGGAATGGGGTCCGGGAATAAGAAGGGGTGAAGGATCCCAGTTTGGGAAAGAGTCAGATCCCAGGGCCACAGGCCTATGACGCCATCAGTGGGGGGAGGGCGCTGCCACGATGAAGATTAGTTTTTATCCACAAAAAGCCTGAATATCCAACAACAGAAAATTAGATTAGTAGACTATGGTTCGTCCACCCAGTGGCCTGTTACACAGACACTGAAATGCTGGCTGTGAAGAGTTGCTAAGCACGTGGAAAGTGCTCTACTTAGAAGAATAGAAAGCAGAAGGCAAAAGTTTACTAACAGTAAGAACACAAAACTGAAACAGAAAAGCAAAAGTTGGTGCTGGCCTGGTGGCATAGCGGTTAAGTTCCCACGCTCCGCTTCAGCGGCCCGCAGTGCGGATCCTGGGCGCGCACCGATGCACCGCTTGTCAAGCCATGCTGTGGCAGTGTCCCATATAAAGTAGAAGAAGATGGGCATGGGTGTTAGCCCAGGGCCAATCTTCCTCAGCAAAAAGAGGAGGATTGGCATTGGAATGTTAGCCCTGGGCTAATCTTCCTCACCAAAAAAAAAAAAAGCAAAACTCAATTCAGAGGAAGCCTGGAAGGCAATGCACCAAAATATTATCAGTAATAGTAGTTACCCTTAGGTGGTGGGATTATGGGTGGGTTTTTTTCTATTTCTGTATTTTTGTGTGTGTGTGTGTGAGGAAGATCAGCCCTGAGCTAACATCCATGCTAATCCTCCTCTTTTTTTTTTTTTTTTTGCTGAGGAAGACCAGCTCTGAGCTAACATCTATTGCCAATCCTCCTCGTTTTTTCCCCCCAAAGCCCCAGTAGATAGTTGTACGTCATAGCTGCACATCCTTCTAGTTGCTGTATGTGGGACAGGGCCTCAGCATGGCTGGAGAAGCGGTGCGTTGGTGCATGCCCAGAGTACTAACCCAGGCCGCCAGTAGTGGAGCGTGCGCACTTAACCACTAAGCCACCGGCCGGCCCTATTTCTGTATTTTCTAAATTTTCAATAATGAGTGTATTTTTTGAATGGAGGAAAAACATTTTAACTAATCCCACCCTTGCCCTCACTTAATTTTTAAAATCTATGAAACCACATGGCACCAGCGCAAACATTTGGGTCCAACTGTGCTGCTGACCCGCTGGGTGACCTTGGGGTCATCTCTCTGAACTCACTGCCTTGCCTGAAACATGGGGGTGACTCTTCAGGGCTGTTGACGGGGTTAAGTGAGAAAATGCACGATGACACGAAGGCGCCAGTTCTGCGCCCGGCACACAGCAGGCCTCCAACGGCCTCTCCGCGCCCACCTTGTCCGTGCTGACGCCGTCCTGCCCCGCGCCCCCGATCACGTAGAGCTGGCCGGCGCAGGGCGCCACCGCGGCCGAGCTCACAGCCTCCGGGAGGGGCGCCACGGCAGCCCAGGTGTTGGAGAAGGGGTCGTAGCGCTCCACACTGCGCAAGCGCCGCAGGCCGTCGAAGCCGCCCACCGCGAACAGCTGCGAGTGAGGACAAGGGCCGGTGCGTCGGGCGTCAGGGCTGCCTGCGTCTCGGCCCCACCACCTCCGGCTGTGTGCGGGAGACTATTCCACCCCAGCGTAAGGGCCAGGCCAACCTGGGCGCATCCCAGCGCCGCCACCGCCTGGGCGACCTCCACCCAGTTACTGAGCCTCCCTTAGCAGGTGCCCTCTATCAACCGGGGCTAATGAGATCGGTCTCGAGGATGGGTACTGAATGCAGATTAGATCTGTAATATACCTGCACCAAGCTGATACTTAATAATAATAGCTAGTAATTTATTAAGGGTTTACCGCCTCTTAAATGATTCTAAGAAGCACTTTTATTTGCATTTCTGAATTCGGGATGTAGCTTACTTACAAGGATACTTGGCAGATTTTTTTTTTTTTTTGGTCTTAAGTGGTAGAGTCAAGATTCAGACCTAGGCTGTTTGGCCCCAGAGCCACACCCTTGACCGCTAGGCTGTACTATTACAGTAATTACTATTATTATTAGCATTAGCATTATTATGTGACCTGGGGCAAGTCCCTCTCCTTTTTGGGGCCTCAGATCCCTTCTTACAAAGAGAGGGTCTCAGAGGGCCTTCCCCCAGGATGATGGTAGATCTGTACCTTGGGCCCCAGGGCAGCAGCTGCTGCGTGTCCCTACCTGGCCCTGCACGACTGCCATCTTGTGCCTCCACCTGCCCTTGTGCAGTGAGGCCACCTTGATCCAGGTGTGCAGATGGGAGCTAAACATCCACACGTCACGGCTGTTGACGTGGCCTCCTGGGGAGAGAGAAGCAGCTGTTGCCCCCTGGCCCTCTTGCTATCCCCACCTCCCCCAAAGAGCTAGAAACAAGGCCCCCAGGAACAAAGGAAGGGTTAAGGCCAGACAGCAAGATGGACTTTCCCCTGGGCTGGTGTGAGACTCTGGGCCTGTGACCTAGACAGTGTGCTTTGAACGAGTGGTGGGAACGTCAGCAGGTAGGACAACAGGCAGGGACTCTTGAGAGGAGAGGCCTGAGAGAATCAGGGAGAAGGAACTAGTCTTCACTGGGTGCCTTGTGGTGGTGTGCCAGGCTCTGTGCTCAGGGAAGCCAAAAGGGAGGCACTTAGAACTCCAATGAAGGTAGGAGTGCAAAGGGTGCCCAAGACAAGCATCAGGAATCTGCTGGGGCACAGAGGAAGCAGAGCTCCTGCACTGGGGCGGGGATGGGGAGAAGGTGACCCAATAATCCTGCTCACTGCTGCCTTCACCTTCATGATTTCAGGTCTGTTCTCATCCCCCCTTGAGGTGTTGGGATTATCATACCCAGTTTACAGATGAGAAACTCAGATGAGGCTTAGAGACCAGGAATGACATGCTAAAGGCCAAGGCCTTTCACAGCCAGAGCAATGACCAGAACCAGACCTTCCAGTGCCCCAAGCTCGGCATTGGTAGGTCCTATGGGGCCAGGCACTGGGGATGCAGGCTGTGGGCTCTTCCTCCCCGTGCCTGGCTGCCTGAGGTTCCTGATCAGGGACTCACCTCTCAGGAGTAGCCTCCCCAGGGACAACCCTGACTGCACCCCTCAGCCTCAGCCTGTAACCCAAGCCACATCTCTGTCTTGTAGCCCTTGCCTCAGTGTATTCTCAGCAGCACCCAGCAGAGGCCCTGCATGTTGCTCAGAGGCCATCAGTGGCCTTGGATAAGTTGTCTAGTAATAAAGTGTGGCCTGGCTAGTCTCTAAGGCCTTCCTGTCTCGTTCTTCTGCTCCTTATCCTTCCCAGGCACCCATAGCTTCCTACAGTGTCAAGTGCAGTCTATCTAGGCCTGGAGTAAAGCCTGCCTGATCTGGCTCCAGAATCCCTTTCATGCCTCAGCTACAATAGCTTCCCCTCCTCTCCCAGATACACTCAACTTGCACTTCAAACCCCTCAGTACCCCGGGGTTCGTTTGCAGGTTCCTGCCTCCATGCTTTTGCCTATGCTGTTCCCTCCGACTTTCAAGGTCCAGCTGAAAAGTCATCCTTTCCATGAAGTTGGGCCAGATTCCGAGTGGGATTCCGGATCATCTGAGGACTTGGATAGCTTCCATCAACTTCCGCCTGGTGGTGAAGTGAAGTCTCCGTCTCCTGCTCTCCAGGGTGCTCCAGGGGAGCAGGGGCTGTGTTTATTCTCTGAGGCTCTAGGGCTTTAATCTCAAGGAGGGCACAGTCCCTTAGCATCAAACAGATCTGTGTTCCTCCTAGCTTTTGCCATTTTTGAGACAATGGGGAAATTCTTAACCTCTGAGCCTGTTTTCTCATCTGTAAAATGGGGTTAGAGGAGGAATTAAATAATAACTAATGTAAGCTGCTTAACGTAATGCCAGGCACGTAGTAGCCTAGATAAAGAGAAGTGATTAATACTAATATGAATTGAAGCGGACATTGCTGACTAAAGGGCGGAGTCACACGAGTGATTGGCTCTGCAGGACCCCCATTTCAGCCAATAACTGTAGATTATCAGGAACCCCATCCCCTCCCGGTTAGAGGTAAAAACAAAGGGGGCGGCGCGCAGGCGATGAGCCAATCCCGTGGGGCTTCCATTGCGGCCCCGCCCTCACCGGAGATGTAGACGTCATTGCGGAGAGCACAGGCGGCGAACTCCGAGCGCGCGTAGCCCGGCAGGCTGGGCAGTGGCGTCCAGCGCCTGCTCTCTGGGTGGTAGGCGTCGGCGAAGGGCAGCTTCAGGAGCCCCTTACGGTCACAACCGCCGATGACCACGATCACTTCAGCTAGGTCCATGAATCTGGTGTGGGGATAAGCCCAATGCCCGTTGACCCGCACCCAAGTTGCGCCCCTCTCTCACCCTCTCGTTGACCACTCCGTACGGTCCTGCTGCCCTTTCATGCCCTCTGGCGCCTCGTCCGTCCCCGGAACCCCCTTCCCCATGCTGGACTCCGCCACTTCCAACCTCCCCTCTGGCTATTGATGGGAAGAGAGTCACTAATCCTTACCCCATTCTACTGACCTCTAAATTTCAGGAAAGGAATCTTTACAGAGCCCTTACCCTTCCCTAGAAAAATCACCTGGTTTATCTTTATGACAGTTCTGTTAGGCAGTGACTATTACTCTTTTTACAGAGGAGGAAACTGAGGCTCACAGAGTTTGGCTTGCCCAGAGTCATGTAGCCAATAAGTGTCAGAGCTGGAATTCAAGCCCAGGTTTGTCTGACGCTAATCCATTCTCTTCCCCTTTTCTGACTTCCATCCCCGACTGCACTAATTCCACTGCCCTTCTCCTCCTATAACCATCTCCTAAATCCATACCCTAATCACTAATTACACTGAACCAGGCTACACACCCTTTCAGCAAAGCATTCTCCCCTCCCACTGACCTCTCAGTCTTCTGACCCCACCAGAATTTCCAAACCCTTTAGCCACTGGTTTCCTACCTAATTCCTTTGACAAATACTGAGCATCTTCTTTGTATCAGGACCTGAGCTTAGTGTTGGAGATACAGTGGTAAGACAGAGGCATCCCTGTCTTCTGTCCCTGGGAGGGTGACACACCATCTCAGACTACTCCACCCAAAGTCTCCCGGCATGGCGTTCCAGGGGTGGGAGTAAGCCTCTTTCATTTGTTTCCCCAGGCCCTGCCTATTTATATCCCTTACTAGTCTGAGCTCCCGAAGCATAAAGGGTGTTTCCAAATCACTGCCGAGTCCCGGTCTCCCAGCAAAAGACCTGCACAGAGGGAGCACTCAGAATTATGGATAGATGGGCAAGAGAAAGAATGTGCGCAAGGTGTGAGATCCCTGCATCTCCCTCATTGGACTGTTAACTCTTCAAGGGCTGAATTCCCAGCACCAAGCCTATGAAATGTTTGCTGAATGAATGACTGAATCTCATTTAAAAGACACGATCAAGTGACTGAATTAAAGGATGACGGTAGAATGAGGGAGCGGTTGAAGAACGCGGGAATGACGGAGGGCAGGAGGCAAGGGAGGCGAGGGGCCGTACCTCCGCGGCCGGGCCCGCAGCGTGCCGGCCTCGCGGCCCAGGATGAAGCAGGCGCGGGCCTCGAGCAGCAGCGGGCGGCACTCGCCGCAGGTCTGCAGCAGCTCGTCAGCCTCCACCTTCTCCAGGAAGTAGGCGGGCGCCAGCAGGGGCAGGCGCACGTGCTCCAGCAGGCGCCGCAGCTGCCCGCGGCGGGCCGGCGCGTCGTGGCGCACCCAGCGC